CTAGTAGCGATGGCCTCCACTTAATAGCGATGACCTCCACCTAGTAGCGATGGCCTCCACCTCATAGCGTCCTTGCGATGCCCTTGATGAACTTGGCTGAGGCCCGAGTGACTGGGTAGGCAGCGACGGTGGATACCATTGATACTCGGCAGAGAAACAGCGGCTGGGTGAATCCGATTCCGAAGCGGAAGCAATTTCTGTTTGATCGCTCTCGTTGGATTCTCGCGTCTTTTTTCGGCTGCTGCATGACATGAAGCATCCTTTTAGTCCTTACAAGTGAAGGGAGGAAGATCGTTGCTTCCCACCAGACTTCGTGCATTTTCCAAGCGAACGCTTGGTGCTTAGGCATGCACAAGCTTGTGAGGCAGACTAGCCTGTCTCAGTATGAAAGGCCATGGAGGGTTCTTTTTGATGAATCCTTGAAAGGATGTGAGTTTGTTCTGTGGACACTCTTCCCCCTGCAGCTCTGGCGGTGCTTGCCGGCCCTTTGGACATGGTCCTTTCCCATACGTTGATTGCCAAGTGCCGTCCTCAGGAGTCAAGCTGCACTAATTCTGGACCTTCTGATATTCTGCGAAAAAGCATGCATAAAGATCATAAAGAGATGTAGGATGATACAGTAAACGTGCAAGTATTGAAAGAAGGTATCAGTTCCTTGGACATGCGGTGCCAAGGATCAGTGCCGTACCTGGGCAGAACATTGACCGATGATTTTGATGATGTATGGGGTCGACCAGACTTCAAAACTACCCTGAAATATCTTGGGATTTCTGTATGTCAAATCTGTTGGCATGTATTTTCTGCAGAGGATATGCAGATGTATCCGCACGATGTTCTTTTTGGTCCTGGCTTCTGAAGGCTCTTTGTTGGCCGCACTGCATCCGCCACACCCCGTCACAACATCCTGCCCACCATGAACTCCGATTTTCGGCACAAGAAATCTGACAAAAGGAGCAGATACCTATGCAGATTTGCCCAGTTCACCTATTCCTCATTGATTTCTCAAGCTTAGGGGGACTTACTATACATCAAGTCAGCGGTCTATGCTCAGCATCAATGTTGCATACTTGTTTTTGACTACCGTATTGTATATATAGTTTGGTGGTATGAGAAAGATGGGGAAAGAGATACCTTCAACAGCTATCCGCAGCTGCCTTTTCATGGTCACGGCGTTTTCCACCCTTTTCTCAGCGACCCGCCACGCCATCGTGCCAGGTATTGGTGGCCAGGCGTGAAGAGGGACAGCCCATTCGGTGTGCGGAAAGCGCAGATCGGCTTTGACCGTTGGGGGGATCTTTTCAATTTGGTTCCACATGAGCAACTTCAAAACCTCTAGGATGAAAAGTGTACAAACATGTACAAACCACATGCAACTCACGTGCTTTCGCAAAAGTATAAGAGGTTTTGGAAGCCGCTCACATGTTTTCACCTCACACGACAAAGTTATCCTTCCGGGTCGTCGAGATCTACAGATGTCTAGGGACGTTCATGGCTCATTGACTAGACCTCCGTGTTGGTCATTGACTTCCAGTCTTGCAAGGGACAAGGGACAAGTAGCAAGACCCTGCAGAATTGCTATGCAGGCTATGGGACACCTCAAAAATGAAGACAACAAGTCACTGCAAATCCCGACATAGCACTACTTAGTCTGCTCAAAGCCATGTTAACTCAGGACATAACTATCTCATCCCATCTCAACGCTTGGAACCTCACCATTTAATTTAGCTCAAAACCTAGCCAAATGGATATGTGCTAGCTGACAACACAGCGAGCTCAAAGCTCAACTGACACACCATGTAGCACCAAACTTAGCGCTTGCCGAAAAACCAAGCTCACTCAGCTGAAGTGGTTTTGGTGCGTGCCTGCTGATGACATTTGTTGGGGCACAAGTGGAGCCGGAGGAAGATTCGTGCTTGTGTATCCTCAGTCTATCTTCAGGAGTATTTTTGGTGCCGTTTTGCTCGAGCATTGTCCACCTCCACCGGAACATCTTTGCTACTCCCGTTCTCCATAGAATGCTTCATGAGCCCAAACAACTGTAAGACCCAAAACATGCTGCGGGATACCTCCAGTCCTGGTTTGCCCTCCGGTGTTTAACTTCAAGCTTGTGAGATGATAGGCAGACGCTGCTGACAATGGAGGCACGGCAGTTTGAGTTTTTGAAGGACACTCGGTGACACTCGTATGTCTAGAGCCCTTCATGTCACTGAACCAGGTGAGATGACACCTGAGATGAAACAGAAGTTGATGAATATGATGATGCATAAGATGAAGCCACCGCCAAACACAGAGGAACAGCAGGAACCAGAAGCAGCGACAGAGGAGACAGAGAAGGAGGAGGAACCAGAGGCAGCTGCAGAGAAGGAGGAGGAACCGGAGGCAGAGAAAGAGGAGGCACCAGAGGCAGAGAAAGAGGAGGAACCAGAGGCAGCTGCAGAGAAGGAGGAGGAACCGGAGGCAGAGAAAGAGGAGGCACCAGAGGCAGAGACAGAGGAAGAACCAGAGGAAGCGGCAGAGAAGGAGGAGGACTCAGAAGCAGCAGCTATGAAGGAGTTCATGGACGGCATGTCGAAAAGTGAACTAGATGACTTCATGGCCTCCACAGCAAGCAATGACGAGCCTTGCTTGCGCAAAGGGAGTTGGTTATGTTGGTTCCTATTGTCAGATTTGAAGCAGTGGGCGGGACCATTTACGATGCTGGAGGCTCCAACTGGCAGTAGACATTAGACCATTGAAAACGGTTCCTCTCTGTGCCTTTTGGATTTGGGTTTCAGCATCTAAGCCTTGATCTCAGGAACACGGTCTTCCGTTCTGCGCCGTTGGCCACAGACACCAATGTCTCTTAGCTGGGTGGTCTCTGTCGGGTTTTCGTCGCTGGGTTCTCGTCGCTAAGGCCCCGCTGACTGGGTGAGCAATGATGGTGGATACCATTGATACTTGGCAGCGTCCATCCAAGACACATGGTATCACGATTCAAACATCCAGAAATCACGAAGAAGAGCTCAGAAAAACCATGTTCTACCTCTCAACCATCGCATATATCGCGACCGCTCTTGGGCTCCAGCTCTGGCACGACAGCCTGTGTGAGGCCTCCATCAGTTGGGAGAGACCAAGGAGCAATATGAAAGGCCTTGGACATGGAGCGAACCGCCCGTGAAATCGAGAACAGCCCAAGGGGTGGAAGTGATCTGCATTGGGAACAGAATCGTTTGGGTGATACAGTATTTTGCCAAGTTAACTATGCGGATTCATGCAGTTCATAGTGAATCAAGTTCATCTATGCCAGGGTTAGGCTTGCATCTGCAGCTTCTGTGCAGAATGCCTTGGACATTGTCCAATTGGTCCAGACACGTTTTGCTCTTTGAAGACTTTGGGTGTCTATGTATATAGTTCTTTCGAAAAAAGACATGGAGTTGGTTCTGTGAAGACTCTTCCCCCTGCAGCTCTGGCGGTGCTTGCCGACCCTTTGGACATGGTCCTTTCCCATCTATTGATTGCCAAGTGCCGTCCTCAGGAGTCAAGCTGCACTAATTCTGGACCTTCTGATATTCTGCGAAAAAGCATGCATAAAGATCATAAAGAGATGTAGGATGATACAGTAAACGTGCAAGTATTGAAAGAAGGTATCAGTTCCTTGGACATGCGGTGCCAAGGATCAGTGCCGTACCTGGGCAGAACATTGACCGATGATTTTGATGATGTATGGGGTCGACCAGACCGCATGTCTTTAAATTGTGTTCAATTTCTTCGTAGATGCCGACATGACATGTCTTCCCCAAAGAGCAGATGCCAGGCATCATACAAACATTACACCAAGCATCCCAAGTTCAAGGCATATGCCTGACGCGTGGCTCCCATCGTAAACGTTTCTTACAGGCACAGCGCGGACACACACTCACACACCGACCTGCCTGCCTGCCTGCCTACCGAACCCTCACCTTAATTACCTTACCTTACCTTACCCTACCTACCCTACCTGCCCTACCTACCCTCCCTACCAGCCTGGCCTAGCCTAGCCTAGCCTACCTGCCTTGCCTTGCCTTGCCTTGCCTTTCCTTACCTTACCTTACCTACCTAGCTACCTACCTACCCCTCAGGATGTGTATCATTCAAAACACTTGTGTGTGGGGGGGGGGAACAGAATCAACAGTTGAGCGGTTTCATAACCCTGAGAAGGAAAGAGGATGTTTTGCACAATTGCTTTGCTGGGCCTTTGTTTGGGCAGAGTTATTCATGTCTCAAAGCACTCAAGAACACGTGCTTGACCAGCCAGGTATCAGTGGCCAGGCGCAGGGCGGGGTACAAGGAGACAACAATCGTTGCCCATAGATGGCCTTTTACTATTGGTCGTTTGATTAATTAATAGAGAAGATACCTCCCAAGTGAACAGCGGTACCTTTCATCGACCCCTCTCTTATTCCCGTTCGGTCGGACATCATGATTTGTCGCATCCTGGACGGTCGCAGTCTGTTATTCTTATTGTTACTAGTAGTAAGGCACTTGTTCCTGCTCGTTACTACTAGTAAGGCACCTGTTACTACTAGCGTGGCACTTGTTTCTAAGGAAGTTTGTGTTCATAGTCCATGGTCTATCGTAGCCCATCTCCCTCTGCTCTACACCTCTGTTTGTATCGACTTCCACACATGCAATGAACAAGTAAGAAGGTGCAGATTTTTATTTTCTTTTTTTGTCCCCGTGCATACAAAAGCAAGACATTTGCGAGCTGCAGAGGTGCTGGTGAAGTAGACACCATGGCCGCAGATGGCCACACCTTTCCGATGCAACTGACCTTGCTTTCCCAGTTGTGTGAGGCTGACAGCCGCAGATTCATCGCACTCGGCGTATCTCACTGCTTAGTTTGCCCATCACCGGCTGACTCACGACATACCTGTCTCAAAGGTTTCAATGGTTAGGAACCTCACCACCCGGCCAGCACAAGACTGAGACCTAATTAGCTAGCTCCACTCAGCTAAACGAAGATGTTGTCATTCTTGAGGCTCAATTCAGGGGCTCACTGCTTTACTCCTTTTATCTCTTCCAAAGGCACTGGGTCACATCGCTCTTTCATCTCACCTTTTGACTCGCGCACTACACTCCCAACCAGCAGCTCTCTGGACAGTTGCGGAGTCGCATGCTCCCTCACCATGCGGAGTTGCAGAAAAAAGAGCAAATTGCTGGAGGTCCATCGTGTAACACGCCGTCCATCTGGGGGTGGACAATGATTTCCTGGTTGCGTGGGGCATTGGACATGCGCGCATCGGTATGCTTCTAAATCGTCTGTGTTTGTTCTGTCTGAGTGACCTACCTCCTTGAACTGTCGGAGTTGTTTTCTATTAATCTGCCTCAAAACCAGCATCAACGTATGTTTTCAAGCTTGTGAGATGATAGGCCGAAGCTGCTAACAATGGAGGCACGGCAGTTTGAGTTTTTGAAGGACACTTGTATGTCTTGAGTCTTTCCTGTCACGAACCAGGCAAGTTGACACCTGTAATGAAAGAGAAGCTGAAGATGATGATGCAGAAGCAGGCACAGGAACAGGCAGAGGCAGAGAAAGAGGAAGTAGAGAAGGAGGAGAAACCAGAAGCAACCGCAGAGACGGAGGAAGAACCAGAGGCCGAGAAAGAGGAACCAGAGGCAGCTGCAGAGACGACGGAGAAAGAACCAGAGGCCGCTGCAGAGAAGCAGGAGGAACCTGAGGCAGCTGCAGAGACGGAGGAAGAGACGGAGAAAGAACCAGAGGCAGAGAAAGAGGAACCAGAGGCAGCTGCAGAGACGGAGAAAGAACCAGAGGCAGAGAAAGAGCAACCAGAAGCAGCTGCAGAGACGGAGAAAGAACCGGAGGCAGCTGCAGAGAAGGAGGAGGAACCTGAGGCAGCTGCAGAGACGAAGGAAGAACCAGAGGCCGAGAAAGAGGAACCAGCGACAGCCGCAGAGAAGGAGGAGGAACCAGAGGCAGGGAAAGAGGAACCAGCGGCTGAGAAAGAGGAATCAACGGCAGCCGCAGAGAAGGAGGAACCAGAGGCAGCCGCAGAGGAGAAGCCAGAGGCAAAGGATTTTTGTGTTTGCCCTGTTTGCTGCACTTGTGCTGTCAGGTCGCAGTAAATAGGCTAAGTACTAAGGATTGTGAAATTGCCTCATTTGGTGCTTTTGGTCATTTCGGATTCCTTGTGCACATCACTGGTAGAGCGGCTGCTGCCCTGCCAAATTAGCAGCTTGTAAGGTGGCTGTACTGTACAAATCAAGCAAGGATTTCGCAAGCAGAATTTCTGTCAAATGCTTACCTTTTGTGCATGGAAGTCCTTACCATTCTTCACCCCTCACTAGTTGAAACCAGAACGAGACATGTCACACATACTTGCTTTTTGAATCTAATTCCATGCCAGAGACATCCAGAGCCCGCTGGCCCCTGGCTTCTTTTTTAACATTCAGCGATGTAAGATCGTGCACAGAGACAGAGTTCTCGGGGAGAGAACTTCAGAGGTTTGCAACGAAACTGGTCTATTTGTGCAGCTAACCTGTTTACAGCAGGTTGCATCGACAGTGACATAGATGTGTAAATCATTTCTTTAGGAGCGACTGGAGATTTAGCGCTTGATTCACTGCCCCAAAATCTTTTTAAAAGCATTTGGCTGAGGCCGAGGAGACCGGGGAAATCTTCACAATTTGGCTGGTTGATCACTTGATGCCGGACAAGAGCTGGGAACCACGCAGGCTGACCTTACCGAAGGAGAAGTTGCCTGAATCGAAGGAAGTCGAACTGATTAAGGACACCTGGAAGGATGAAATTAAGCCAGGTGAACCTGCTGAAATCCACGTCGTGGAACCCTACGTGGAAAATTATCCGGGTGCACCATCCATGCATCTACTGCTGGAACGCAACCCACTCAGGGAGCATAACCATCAAGCGGCCGTTTTGCTTGAAATCAGAACGCCTGGTTCTGATACCGTGCACTGGAAAGCCCGATTTGTGGCAAACCCAGCAAGCTTCACAAGCCTCAATGCTGACAGTCAGAGTATCAAAGATGGCTCCAAAATCACCCTCTTTGGTGACCAAATCACTGACCAAAGAGCTGAGAAACTTTGGCCTGGCGACCTCCTGGAGGTCAGTGAAAAGCAGGCCTGGCCAGTGTGAAAAGCATCCGGCCATCTGTTTCATGTGAGGTCAGATTGGATGTAACTGCCATCGGCTGGACAAACTGACAGGACAAAGATTTGGCATTTGCGGGATGGTCTGCTGAAGCGGAAAACCCAGGTGCTGCAGCTTTCTCGTTCGCTCTCTCATCGAATCGCTTCTCTGAGCATGTGAAATGTTTTTGTTGGCAGACTCTTGAAATTTCTGCAGCTTTCATGAGAGCTGCAACGTTTCCTTTTTCAATGTGACAGCCATGTCTGTGACATCTTGTCTGCAACCAGCTGCTGTGGCAAGTTGCAGGTGGCATCTCAGACGACATGAAGAAGAAATTGGTGGCAGAAGCGGCCGAAGTCAAAACCATCGAGAAGCAGCTTGAGGCGCGCCATGGCATAGAAGCCGAAGTTGTTTGCTCTTGGAATCCAGTTAAGATAGTTGAGAATTGTGGTAGGTTGCAGAGCAGTGACACCTGGTTGAAAGGAGAAGGTAGAACAGGAGGCGGCAAGCAGCGAGGCAGGGTGCAGTAGTTACGTAGTTCCAATCAGAGACACCACGCTACGCCCATGAAAAGCTCCGCCTGAAAGTTACCTTCTTCTGGCCGATACTACCAGTAAAAGCGTAGCCGGCAACACTGAAATGAGTTCATTTATGTTCATTTTATTTATGTTCATTTTATTTGTCTCCCGCTGGAAGAGACTTCGAGGCAGAGACGCCAGAAGAGCCTGCTGTCAATCACTCAGGGAACGTGCGGCAGTGACATTCCATGAAAGAACAAGGCACCTCTTCCCTTTGACATTAGATCTCATGATATCCTTGTATTCAAGCCTATTCAATACGATTTCGGACAATTGGATTAGACTTAAGCACCTAAGGTAGCAAGTTGATACCCAGGTAGTTTCAGTCGAACGCTTCTGAACTCCATCAGCTGAACAAAGCTTTGATCCATGCTTGCTCAGGAGAAGACAATATGATAACTGGGAATACGACACGGTGGCTTGGCGGACTTTTGAGTCCTGCTTGCTTTGCGGCTTGCGGACAACTGTTGTCACAGGTATAGAATGAAAAAAGCAAGGATTTTCACCCAACCAACCAACCGACTAACTGACCAACCAATCAACCAACCAATCAATTCGCGAGTATCTTAGCTAGATTGGCATCAGATAGCAGCTGGACATTTAATGAAATTTATCCTCTAGTAGCTAGAAGCTTCCTTGGCAATGGTTTCACTGGGAATCATTTCACCTGTAGTAACAAGAAGCTACTAGGAGCAAGGACGCTACTTAAACACCCTGACCATCGGAGCTCAAAAAGCGCTGCTTGGAGACCCGGTCTATGCCATGCCGGGCTTTCGGACACATCCCAGCTCATTGCAAGGCCTGGTGGACAGAAATGTCCTGAAGGATAGCCAATGGGCCAAAGGTAGCACCGATCTATGCCAATGTGCCCAATGGGGACTTGAAGGGTCAGAGGCTTCCTGGATGACTCAGGACGAACAGGATCGGCACTTGGATCCCTGTGACCATCTTCGACCCTTTGACCGTCTCCGAACGTGGAAATGTGTGTTGCTCTAAAACGAGCAAACACAGCTTCTTCACAGGTTTGGCAGAGCGGTGGCCCATGAGGTGTGTGTGTGTGCGTGCTTTACTTTCGTGTGGAAGGAACACGGGTTTTCGCATGTTCTCTCCGTAGTGAAAACACCGCCCCTTTTCACCAGCTGCTCTGTCGCGTGCGCAGCGAATGGCAAGCGAGGGCACTCGCCGTGTCGCTGTTGCATCACCCTGATGTTTTCGTGGATAAGTCCAGAACTTGCTGGGCTTTAGCTTTGCCAAAGTGCTCTCTGGTCTTGTAGGAAACCATGCATAGAAGATCATAGAAGTGTGTGGGCACCAATTTTGGATGATTTTGGTTTATGAGATCTTTAGTCTTTAGTCATCTATAGTCTGCTGACATGCACGTGGGAGGCCTTCTTGAAGGTTCCCTGAAATGGCCCACCAACTTCAGCTCGACTCGCTCGAGCAACTGGCTGGACCAAAGGATTGGCCCAACCGCTGGTCGCCTTCCGTCCCGACTTTTATGTGCCGGCTCAACGGTATGGGCACAACATCGGAATATGGAGGGCCATGGTTCAACGGTATGGGCTGACACAAGATATAAGATGACACAAGAAGATCAAGAAGATATATGTTTGTGAAAGCGAGCTCTTGAGCTCTTGGCATGTTTCCAGGTTGATAACACCCAGCCGCCATTTGCACAGATCTTGACCCATTTGTTTTAAGATGATACAAGATGATGAAAGTCCTTATCAGTTATAGTTCTAAGGACTGTGTTCTTGCTCAAAGTGGACAAGAAAGGGGGTTGTGCGTTGTGCCCAAAACTGTTGTGCCGTGTTCTCACCTTGCTGAAGTGTGAAAAACCACCGGCGGAACGAGACTGCGGGACGTGCGGAACGAGACGCCGTTTTAGTTCCTGGGAATCATGATCTATATTTGGAAGAGCGTCCTTTGCTCGTAGTAGCGATGCCAGGAGCCCCTAGTAGCTTGTTGTTCCTAGTAGTAAGGCCAGGAGCATCTATATTTGGAAGAAGGTGACCATTTTGGTATTGACCATGGTACCCCATTTTGAAATGGTTCCTGCTATACCGTCCCATTTGTTTCGGGGAGGGCTACAGGTTGAGACATTCACATTTGTAGACTCCTGAAGATTCGGAGTCATGGCAAAGGCTCAAAAGGGCACAGGTCTTTTTGACACCCAAACTGCTCGTAGAGTTTTCAAGTTTTTCCCAGTTGGAGACAGTCGGTTTCCTCATCCGTCGCCCGAAGCTTTTGCACTAATAATGACGAGCATTCCGAACACTTCAATCATTTGGTGCATGACTTACTTGAAGCACTTCCCAGATGACATCTGGAGTCCTCACATTTCTTACAGTCCAAGAGCACAACTCGGAGCATTTTGTTGGCATGCAACACATGCGGAGACTCCGGGCCATGGGCCCCTTTGCAAAGGCACCAGACAGGCACGGAGAGCGTGCCATCCAGTACGTCCATCCTGACGCCACGTCGAGACGCCACATCGTGACGCCACGTCCCGCCATGTCCGGCAGCGATGCCACTGCATCCCTGGCCGATGGTGATGCTGCTCGGCGTGGGTCATGAGGAGTTCAAGCGGGGAGGTTTGGGCTGGGTAGAGAAAACTCTGATTAATCACCAGCAAACCCCACGAAAACACTATATAAAGAGTCTTAACCCCCAGATTGTCAAAAGGAACGAACATGAAAAGGAATTCGTACATGTGGAGAGGTTTGGAATTGAGATGAAGGGGACATGACAGGGAATTGGTATTGTGGAGAGTTTCCTGGAATTGAAATGGAAAAGGAATGATAGGGACGGGAATTGTATAGTATTGTGGAGGTTCCTGGACTCAAAATGAAGACAGGAATTCGTATGACGTGGAGACATGCTAGCAACTTTTTTCGGGTGCAATGCAACACGTTGTTTATTCATAAATAAATAAGCGATATGTACGGCATGGTGGCTTCCTGAGAGGTACCCTTTCTGCATCTTTAGCCTAAAGGATTTAGGGTACACTTTATATACTTTTGTCTACTTGGCCATCTCAAAGTTAAGTGGCGGGTCTTAAACATGGACCAGGAACCCGAACATTTGGTCTTGCTTCTGAATGTCCCGATCCTTTGCAACGGGACGGCCTCCACCAGGTAGCATGAATTTGGTCAGTACTCTCTATATATACATGTACCATCATGTACCAAATACAACATAATTACATAGTTGTAAAGTAGTTAATTCAGTATATAATGTTTATTGACCATACTGTGTTAACATACGACCAATGTGTTGATCTCTTGGGACAGCGACCACCGGACTTTGATCCACTCAGGTGAGACGGGAGGCCAGTGCCACTGTCCGGGCCAGCTTAGCACAGGCGAGGATCCGCGGGACTCGATGGTCAGGGCAACAGGGCAACAGGTTTTGGATCGGAATCAGCCGTTGTTGAGGTCTAGCCGTTCTGGTCGAGAATGGGTTTTTGGCCCTAACTTGCTGGTCGGAATTTGGGAAGGCTTTCCCTCCGCTGTGTGGCAGGTGATCGAAGTATCTTTTGCGAGATGTAACCGGGTGGTGATGTGCCTGGCGCTGCTGCTCGCAGTGGGCTTGATGGTGGTGGTGGTTTGGTCCTCTTGGCAGCAAAATCATCAGGTGAGGCATTCTTTTTATATCCTTTTATATTCTCATAGACGTGAGGTCAAAACATGTCAAGAGTGTTTGTGCACACTGATTTGGCAGGGGCTGAACTTAGATTCAACATGTTTCAACACGTTCGATGTGGTTTCACATGGTTTCATATGGTTTCACAGTCGATTGCTAAGGGCCGAACTGGTCTATTCTGCACACGAAGAGGATTACTGTGATGAGCCCTTGGCGGAAATGCTGAGGTGTGACTCGGGGCGCTCCGGGTCCAGGTGTGTGTAAAGGGTTTACAGGTTCATGATTCCTACATTTACACGTTTGTAAGGACTGAGGGGCACTCAAGTCTATTTCCCCAAAAGAAACCAGAAGAGCAGAAGAAAGAAAGCACGAAAGAAAGAGAGACAAGAGAACCGGAAAGAAAGGAACGAAAAAGGAAGAAACGACTCAAGGTCCAAAGAAAGACACAAAGGAAAGGAATGGTCAAGAGGTCCAGTCGGGAAGAAATAAAGAACCACAAGTCCAGTCGGGACACTCCAGTCCATTTCCTCAGTTCATTGCAAAGGGGTTCACAGAGGCCAGGATGGCGTGCTCATGGCGTGCTCTTGACGGCGGTTCGGTGTAGCGGGCAAGGTGTTCAAACGAACCTGCACAGCCCTTGTTCTCATCGCAGACTCATCTTCTTGATCATCATCATACAATCCCTGCAGAAGACCATCATGCGGCACTGCCTTTGCTATGACATGGCGCAGGAGCTGGGTGGAGGTTTGATCAAGTGACACAACGAGCAGAATCTACAAGCATTTGCAAACTAAGGGGCAAAAGATGACACGACCAAGTTCGTCCATCAATGTCAGTCTTAAGTGCCTTGAGGTTCGACAGTAGCGTATCTTCCCGTATCAACTCTCCGCCAAAACCCGCAGATGCCATGACATGCTGTAGGCCACATTGATGCTGTAGCTCAAGAGCCAAGAGCATAGACCCATAGAGAATCCCAACGACGTCACAGGCACATACCTACACCAACTGAAGCCGAGCCACTGCTTCTTCAGCTGAGGAAGCTCCAAAATCGAGTGACATCCAAAGCAAGGGTTTGTGTCTTTAGTTGTGAACACATGGTCTATACATGTATAGTTATATATATATATAAGTATTATGTATATTCTATATTGGTTAGTGATACAACTCGATTTGCAGCTTTCGAGCCGGGTCGGTCTTACGTCCGTCTGACCTTGTCCTTCTCCAGGATGGTCCTGTGGAGCCTTGTCGGGTGAAGCTCTTTCGATGTCTCTCCCTGCTGGCCGCCTTAGTGTGGCCTTTGGTCGCAGGCGGATTGCTGAGTGGCGGATGGAGCGGATTCGGGATCATCAGGGCCTGTAGCGCTTGGGTTTCAATGGTTTCTCTGACTTTGGGGGATCATTTGGGATGATTTTGCCCACTTGAACGGAACAAACATCAACATCTCCAAGTCTGCCGAAAATATACTGTAATCGTTTTCCAAGTGGAAGGTGCTGTGTCCATAGCGACGTCCTGCTGCTTGATCCACCTTGGGAACGGAACAAAGATTGAAACTTCACGAGGGAAATCTCCACCAGAATGAGTTCATCAATCAATGCTGTTTAGGATCCAAAAAGGGTTGAAGAGACCATTCAGACATACTAAAACAAAACAGTGACCAAACAGTAGGCATTGAAACTTAGGGAGGTTAACAGGAAGATCGGCTGTACAGCTTTGTGCCCAGCGAATGACTCGTAAACACTGGAAGTAGCAAAGCGACATCTCTCTCTAACACTAGAAGCTTTTGTTCCTAGTAGCGTCCATTGCTCCTAGTAGTAAGGCCAGGAGCCCCTAGTAGCGTGTTTGCTCCTAGTAGCGATGCCAGGAGCCCCTAGTAGCGTTCTTGCTCGTTGGCGTTTTTTGTCAACGGAGTCACAAACTCATGTAACAATTGACCCAGGCTTCGGTGAGAAAGGGCGGCGACCAGACCACATTGGCAGCAACCCTCACTGAAAATTCATCACTTGTATTCCAAAGCGAGACCTCAGAAGCCAACGTACAGGAACTGCCCCAAAGGGTATTGGAAATGTCCGTAGAACGCAATCCCGACCCCCAACCACACACAAACACTCACACACCACACACACAAAGTTGAGAGAAGCATTGAAACGGTGCGAAAATGAACAATCGCAGTCCGCAACGAAGAAGTGCTATAGTCCTGGTCGCATGAAGAGCACACATCCACAACATGCCAACGAAAAACATGTCCTGGATCTTCATTTGATATCGCTGCAGCGAAATTGGACAAAAATCCCTTGCAGCCATAGGGCATACGGTCATCAATAGGATTTGAAAAGGAGTCTCCACCCATAGCCACGAGACAAGATCTTGAAGAAATGTCCATGGACAAGCCCATCAGTGGTTGAAGAATCCCTCCAAGTGCACCACAACAAGCGAATGTGGATATTAAAAAGGCAGAGGCCTAATGTACCGACGTCGAAGCGTGCCGACGTTGAAGAAAGACATTGTTCGCCAGCACCTGAAGTCAAGGCTGGATGCTGATGAACAGTCACGACTGCAGTCGACAGCTTCAGCTTGCGGTTGCAGTGACCCTTGGTCTACAAGTCACATGAGATTGCAGTTGTAAACATTGCATTGAAGGTGCACTGCAGGGTTTGTTTGCATTCAACTCACCCCCTTTGAACATGTCTTTGGCTGAGGATCATAGGCTACTACGTGACACTGGCCCTTTGCTCAGTTGGTTTCAGCCACAAACTGTGCAGTCGTCCGAAGCACTGGACATCACTAAACACTACTCGACTGTGCTCGTTGGGGCATGTGGCATGTTCCAAATTCCAGTGAGTGACATCATAGGGGTTCATTCATCACCTTGACACATCCTCCATATTGGAGGCCCCTCAATAGCCAAGAGGAGAAAAGCAGTTCTTTTTTTAGAAACACACATCAAAAAAATCTGTGTACATTCGCAAAGAAAGATGCCCAGCACAAGCTGAGTCGGTCGATGGTCGTCCGGTCGTTTGACTCCCTGAAAAACGCCGGGGCGTTGGTGATGGTGTCTGAAGGATGAGCTGATTCGGAGATTCATTTCGCAGAATCGACCTCTAAGGTGGCAGTGGTCATCATCCTACCATTTCTGTTTATTTCTGCCACTCGGGAGCAAGGCCACGCAGACAGTTCCTTCCGGCCTCGACTTCGCTCTGCGCTCGGGTGGCCGAGGTGATGCTTTGTCTCATTCGCCGTGGCGTCTTAGCGCTGCCACGCATGCCCGGGGCGGCTCCTGAGGCGCGGAGTGGCGACGCGTCACGAAAGGAGAGACATGTAGAAGGTAGAGGTCCCCAGGTGGTTGTTGGGGTGTGTGTTGAGAGGGTTTAGGGTGTTGTGATGAATCAAACTCCTCTACCAGAATGGTTCTACATCGCCATAGCAGCTAGTTTTTTTTTTTTTTTAAATCAAAATCAACAGTCAATTTTCCTGAAGCTATATGAGTTGTGAACATATGATGTGCTTCCTTTTGGAACCTCAAATCTCACCAACCCGAGGAGGTACTGTCACCGAGGTTTCAACGACCACATTCTAGGCCTAGAAATGTCAGTTTGGCGCAACTGTTGCAACCACCATGGAACTTGGGATCTATCAGGAATGCTTGCTTTCTACTAGCAACAAGGGCATCGCTACTAGGAACCATGGGGCCCCAACGCTCAGCCATGGGGCCTTACTGGGTATCAGCAGGAAGGCCTACTCTCCATCAACTGGATATCGGAGAACGCCCGATGAGTGACCAGGGCAGCCTGGATCAACTGCCGGTGATCGCATTTGAACCTGCCAGGCAGATGGGAACGAACTGACTCGTTTGAAGGATCAAAGCTCGAGTTTTTTCTTTCAACAAGTCTAACTTGGGGGCGTGACAACTCCTTGGACAAAAGCTGCAGGTTCATGGCACCATAGAGTAAAGGTGGCCAGATTCAGGAGTATCCATGCACTGTGTGTTTTTGGTAATGAGCCAAGACTCAAGAAAAAACACAGAAGCAAGAGTCTCGGACTACCGATTTGGAATCCAAGTCCGTTCCTATGTAGGACTTTCTTGTTCACTGCCCTGCTGGACTTGGTAGGAGTTGGACAGTTGTCACTTGAAATCGTTATCTTATGGTCCTAGAAACCTAGTTTGTCCAGAGAACCGTCTACTTTTTGAACCAGAAAACGGCGAGCACTTCCCCACTTCCTACACCGTCTACCTCGACGAACACAGCCAGTGTTCTTTCCGTCAGGTTCAACGACGAACCATCAGGGCTTCCAAGCTGCTGCGCAGTTTGCTTGGACCCCTTCAACCAACAGAAGGCTTTTGCACTGGTAGTGTGGGGGCTATAACAACTACCATTCACACTACCTTGCCTTTCATTTCTTTTCATCTCACAGTGTAGAGTAAGAGCAACACAGCATGCCGCATGCCGCAGCTGCCTTTTTGGGATAGCCGATAGCCTCAGTGAGCAGGCCATGAACATCTATGAACATTTGTCTTAGGAACATCCCTTTGACAGAACTTTGGATGGGCTCTTATCTTCGGACTTCTTGGCGTCACAATGACCGCTTGAACGAATCAGCGTTTCACGAAACCATGCGTTTCACGTCACCACAGTGTTTCTCTTTGTGCCACATGCGTTACGACGTCTTCCTGGCGTCACCGCATTCCTGCGTGGCAGGAGATAGTCCAGACTCCTTGCGGCCACGTCTTTCACAAGAGATGCTTGGGGGGCTGGATGCAGGCGCAACTCAAGGGAGTGAGGGAGGAGGACTCCACAATATTGAGATGACACTAAAACAAGGATTAAGACGCTTTTCTGAAGCAGTTGGAACTACTTGTGTTTCCAACGTCAAAGGATTGTTGGAGAAATAGTGAGCAGTTCCAGATAGTTCCAGAATTCGGGAACATGGAAACACAGCAGGGCATATGCGTCACGTGGTTTCGTGGAGGGAATTCCTGAGCCTGTTGCCATGCGAGGTGGCCTGCACTTGCCCCTTGTGCAGATCTGACGTCACAGGCGGACCAAGACAGCGGTTCTGGGGGATTCGTGCGGACCGAGATGAAAAAGTGCAGAGACGGAAAAGGCAGATAGCCTCGTGCCAGACAACACACCAAGCTTGCAGATGCTGCATGGCTCCATCAATGCTGGATCATGATTCGTGCGGAGCTTTTCATTCAAACGTCAGGTGGGGCCAGCTGTTGTCCATCGGCCAGCAATAGATACAATGCACTAAATATCCCCCGCAACTGGGTCTCTAAGAAATGGGGATCCCTTGCCACTATAAAATGCCTTTTTGGTAGTCATCTTATAGAGAGGGTAGTTGTTGAGAGTTTCGAGAAGACATGGAAGGACATTTTATAGAGGCGGTTCTGGGACTGTTTTTGGATACTTTATGGAATGCCTAGTGATCCCTGGACAAGGCATTTTCTAGAGGCGCATGTCGGAAATGGACGTGTCCCGCTTGGGGATTTGGTTGGTCATTTTATAGAAAAGCTGCGTTCACACTAGGTGGATTTGGCAAAGCATTTTATAGAGACTTTGGTGTTGGAGATGTTTATGAACCCAGTAATGTATTTTTTTAGTGAACACGTGCTTCCCATGTTGGGATCCATTATTTTCATGTTTTAGTGAAAACGGGTTTCCCAACATCTTATGCCCATTCATCTGGATATTCATTTTATAGAGGCCTCTTCTTTCTGCTTCCTGGATGTTATGCCTGCCATTTTATAGAGCATGTTCTTCCACTGCTCCTTAGCCACACCTGGATCTGGCTTGGCAGGGCATTTATATAAACACCTTTGCCTGTCATTTTATAGAGATTCTATCCCTTGCCACTCATTCTTTAGAGGGCAGCTCTCTAAATAATGACCAGCAAAGCACCCAACAGGCCACCCACGGGGGATCACTAAATAGATGTTCACACTCTGCGCCGAGAATGATGGACAGACCAGAAGGGTCATTTCAAGAATTCATTCAAACACATTCAAACATAAGCATGTATGCTAAGGCCCTGTCGTTCTTAACCAGCAGTGACTCTTCAGATCACACGCCATGATATAGAAACAGCTCTTTTTCTGTGGCAACTGCGCCAGGAAATGCCTGAGTGTTTGGCACAGTTGAGGGCATGTCACTTGGGCAGCCCTGTTTCACGTGTTTTGAGACGCGCGAGTCGAGCCTCGCAGATCAAAACAAGGCGTTGTTGTGCGGTTTCCACGCGTTCGTTCGGCGGCCAAGCAACATGAGACAGACAAAGCAACGTTGGGATTTTTGCTTTGCTTGCATCTAACTGGTCTTAAAGCCATTTGTCATTCATTTTCATTTGGTAGGGATCCAAGCGCTTCCTTCACCGTTGAAGTCAACCAGCACCAAAAAAACAGAGCACTCCTTGCCACTTCCATCCACTTGCCATTGTGACCCTCCTCTCCACAGAGCACTCCTGCCATGGTGTCGCCTGCCAGGCGGAATTGCTGTCACTTTGCCGATGACTTCTGCAGACGTGCGAGGCCTCAATCATCGAACACGCCCGGCGACAGCGGGCTTGTCCCGGTCCCTGGGGCTGGCGACACCTCTCCCGGCGACTCTCCACGGCGATCGATGCCGACCGAGGGCGATGCTAAGCGCAGCGACCGAGGTCTCTCAGTCTCACCCATCCCCGACTGGGCCCGGCACTGAGACCGGGCCCGACAGATCGATGACAGATATGACCGGGCCCGCCACCACGGAATGTAGGGAATCGGCTGAAGACGATGTGCATTGATTTGCATCGATTGGCACCTTCTCATCCAACTTGTGCGCCTGTAAGCAATGACTTGGTGTATATAGCAAGGCCACGGTGGCAGGCTCAAGCATGCTCAAGCTGGGTTTGGCCAGAGACGAATCATGGAGAAGAATGAGGGATACTGAGGTTACCCTCCGACGTTACGTAGTGAATGCTTTCTTTCCACCATTCGTTGTCTGACATCATTCGACATGCCAACAAACCCATGTGAGGTGCACCGGCTAGCCCGCTTTGGCGCAGGGGTCGATGAAACTCTGCAGGCGAACCTGAAAGCATCGAAAGAGAGATGCCTCACATGCCTTCGATATCCTTCGAATGAGATGTTCGTTTTGGAGGAGACGGAATGGGCCAATCTGAGCATCTCTTAGAGATACGGACATTTGTGTTCAACCTGAGCAGCAGAGGAAAATTGACGCTCGACTCGCTCGTCAGATCTTGCTCCAGCCTGCCCTACCCTGTCTCCAAGTCAGCCCTTTGGTCAGTACTTCAAGCTCTGCGGAAAGGACTCAGCGTGTTTCACTTGCATGACCCAGGCAGCCTACAAGCGTCAGAGGCTCCAGATTCTGAAGAGTTCGGTTCTCTGGCCAAGATCGAACTGCGCCATGGAAGCGCCTGAGGAAAGCGAAGCTGACCCGAGCGAAGCTTGTCAAAGAGACCACATGCACATATGTGCATGGATTTCAGGATGGTGAATTTTTGACATCTACCAAATACATCTCCAAAACAACCATTTCCTATATGAAATGGGGTGAGACAGAGCCCACCACTCTCTCAAAGCAACTTGGTAGGTCGGGGCCATGCCATTTTGTATAGTGGACAGACTTGCCAACATGAGTGTTAGGTCCTCACTAGTCCGTAGTCCTTTTCATTAAATGATTCTATGTATGTTGGAGACTGTTGGAGCCAGGCATTTTGTAGTGAAGGAGGGTCGGGGGTCCCTCATTCTGTTGTGCTATAGAATGGAGGCCCTGACCCCTCCACCCTAATTGGAATGGGGGTACTCTGTTCACCGGGTATGACTCAGACACATCATTAGTTCATGATGCTGATGACGAGTCCAACATACTCTTCAACTGTTCAACTACTTGACTAGCTCCATCTAGCTTCACGGATGATCCACAGATGGTGACAGCCATTCAGATAGGCATCATAGGGATGGCTCTGAATCGTTCCCAAGGCTGTGTCAGCTTATGCTGAATGGCTGGTGAACTGCCTCACCGAAAGCCGCCAACGGGAGGCGCGGCAAAAGCATGTAATTAAGAAGCACTCCGAAAACAGCTTCCTTCGTGAAAAGCCTTGGGGGAAGAAGTCTTCAAGACCAAACAAAACTGTTGGTGGAAGACCACCTGAAACCCTCAGATGTGCTGTTCCGTCGAGCCATTTAGTTCAGGAGATCCTCTCGAAAGAGGTCACAGCTGTGCGCGAGGCTGGACGCGAAGATAAAAAATAACAGCTGTACGGTTGAGCTATTCTAGCTGCCAATGTGGTCCTTAAGGCTCCCAGCGCATGTTTTGTATATAGCTCCATTACGCAGGGATTGGCCAAGACAGTATATAGTAGATATAGTATGATCTAGTATGATTGTATAGCAAAAAATCATCCGGTACCATCCAACAAAATAAGCGAATTGATCATTCACAGGCGAAGTAATGCCTGGCACGGCATAGGATTGAATCACATCAAATATGATTCAATATGATCACATGAATCTTCTTAGCCCCTCTTAAAAGGTATGATTTCATGCTTCCTTTTGGAGGCCATTGCTAGTAGGTTGGAGGCCGAAAGAGCACGGTCACCGGGTTGGAGGCAGCAGCTGTGGGTGCTACCGCCCTGGTCGAACTCCGTGGAGCTGTGTCACCGGGATGAGACGGGCTGAGGGGTGGAGGCCGTAGAAGCTGGGGATGTGAAGGACCATGAAGGACTTTGTTGGATTCTGAAAAATCTGATTTCAAAATAGGAATCCCAATGTCACAGCCACACCCAACACCCCAAAAACACCACCCTCCAAACGCCAATCCCAAAGTGACTACGCAGAACATCCCAACAAAATCAATAGGTCAACAGGAAAAGGGATGAACAGGGTCATCCGAATTGGGCGACGCTGCCATTCACGTAATTCACCATGTTCATTCCATCAGTGTCATGCTTGTTTTTTGGCACCAAGAGGTTTTTAAAGATCTTTCAAAAAAAAGAAAGCTATGGTTCATTGCTGTAGCTGGAGCTCTGGCCGCATGTCGACTGAGGCAAGCCCAGCTGGACTCGATTGCGCGGAAGCTGCAGAGCCTGCAGCAAGAATTAGAATCCACCAAGCTGGAGTTGGCTGAGGCTCTCAGTTTCTCAGAGGTTTCTTGAGAAGTGCTTGCGGGATCTTGCGGGCACAAATGGACCAAGCAAGTTCATGTTCCGGAGAAGGTGAGGGCGTTTCTGTTTGTTTCTGCTATCTGGAAAAGACTTTGAAACTTAAAATATCGGTCCGCTGATTTGTATGAATCGCTGTGCTAGACCGTCTCATCGGCAGGTGGTGATTGCAAAGGAGGAAGATGGCTTGGAGCTGAAACAGGAAGTGGAAGTCTTGCGAAAGAACGTTGAAACCCAGAAGGGTCTTCAACACACGCAGGACCCGCAGGTCTTCAACACACTTGTGTCTCTGTGCACATGGGCGGTTCAGGGTTCAATCTCCGCACCTTTGCCGCGAAGGAATAGACCTTGTCCAACCTGTGAGAGACAAACAACTGAAAAAAAAACAAGGTTTCGCTTCCCCCCTTTGCTTTTACATGCTTTTACTACCTAGTAGCGATGACCTCCAACCTACTTAGCTTGTTACTTCTGTTTACGTCTCCCTCCCATCGTCGCTCGACGGTGAGGAGTCCCACATCGATGCCCTGGAGAAAAAGCTCTTGGAGGCCGCCCAGTTCCTTCACATCTCGACGATGCGGACGATGTCAGCGTGAAAGCGACAGAGCGATGCGAACGATGTGGCGAACGATGCCCATCGTGGCGAACCAAAAACAAACATTTTCTGGACACAACTTAAGTCAAATCAAGAGAGGTGGGTGACCGATGTGTCTGGTCAGTCCGGTGGGCCCACGAAGGATTCCAGTCCGTGAGTCCCGTCCGTTGTTTTCTGCCGAAGCACCTCGAGCGATACCTGGATTGTGACGTTTCTTTCTTGGTTTCCTTCCCATACTTGTGCACGTGCAAGCACTTGTTTGGTTGACATTTACTTCAAAGAAAGCGATGCAGAAAAAACACCTGTCAAGCTGAAGTGTCAAAAACTGACTGTAAAAGCTTCTTGATCTTTGCGGTAAACGTTTGTTTTGTTCCAAGTTTTATTGATCACTTCAATCGAGCTCCGCAAAAACTAGGCTTTTAGGTCTTCGGCCATCCAACTTCCCGATCTCCTATCCGTCTATCCGTCCACTCCGCCGGCCGCGACGAGCGGAGTCGCAGCGACTTCTTCGTGAGGCATCGGAACGCGAAGCTCAGTTCAAGCAACACCTGGAGGCCAAGGTCGTAGCAGCTGAGGATCGTGTGCAGTTTCTCGACAGATCTCGCATGTTTTTGGGTAGACATGAAGACTAGGTGACTAGTGACTAGGTAATAGGTGACAATCTATGAAATGTATTTTGGTCAGTGTTCACGAGCTACAAAGGGTCAAGCAGACCCAGCATTTGAATGTGAACATTTGTAGATCTTTTCTCTTTTGCCTCTTGTGCCCAACCAAGGAAGGCTGAGGGTGTTCAAAGCCAACTGTCACAGAGGGTGGAGGAGTGTGGCTTGGAGGCATTCCTCTATTTGTTCTTGTTGAACGCAGTAGGTGAAACAACAGGAATCGACCACTGTCTACATGGGATCATCATGAAATCTCAGGTGTGGTGGAAAGCAAGATGAACTCTTTGTTCGAGATGTTCGACAAGTCAATGAAAGCGCAGCTCGCAGAGCTTCGACAAGCCCAAGCTGCTTACCGAGAAGATTGAACATGGGCAAAATGCATGTGTAGACCGTATAGGTTTATAGAGGGAGATCTAATTGATTTAATACGGCATGCATGTCGAAAGAGGCGGGGATGTCCTACACTACTGGTCCCAGAACATGCATTTGGTTGTGTTTGCTCTGCTGTTTCAAGGTCGACCTGGAAATCATGCAACAGAGGAGCGCGCAGTTCAAGGAGGAGGGTGTCCGTCGCAACTTGTCTTCTACACTCGGCTAACCCAAAGCATGGAACATCATGCAGCAAATCCTTGCCATCTCTTGGCACTTGTTATGTCAGCAACAAGCTTGGATGAGTACTGGAGGTGTACACCTCCATCTAGGAGTTGATTTTCCACAGATCGACACCTCCTTTTTTTGAAAAACCGGTGCCTGCAGGGTCATGTATTGTCGGTCTCGTCGCAGGTATCGTTGGTATGGTGGAGGAGCACGATCGAAAGCTTCTGGGGCTGGATCAGAGGCTCTCCGTGTTGGAGGCGACGTCGACGTCGACGTCGGCTCAACTGGTCGAAGAGATATGTGAAGGGTCGAAGTTGGTCGAAGGGATTGGTCGAAGGGTCGAAGGTGGACCAATCCCAATTTGGAGTTTTTGTTTGCGTTGCATCTTTCTGTCTCCAGGAAACGCAGCAAAGAACTGACCAAGATTTGGAGCAAATGCGCGCTGAGATCCAAGACAATGTGCAGGTCGGATGGGTTTCAGCGCGCCAGCGCTGTTTTGTGTAGGAAGATGTTTCACGCTCCGCTTTGGCTTGGGACGGAGTCGGCTGTGAAAGATCACTGAGCATCCAACTTTTGACGTCGCAGTGATGTGGAAGATGTTTCACAGTTTTACGGTGGTGCTGCACGGGCGGAGCAAAGCGAGCTAAACTGCACCGGCTGCACCGGATAATCCAGATTAATCCAGCACACCTGCAGGAGAAGGACAAGGAAGCTCTGACAACACCCAAGCAAGGGTCAGTGAAGGCAGGATGCATTCATGCAAGGCTTGCCATGTTTTGTTGCCTTGACCAACAACAAACAACATGCATATGCAGACTAAAGATGACTAAAGACATCTAAAATATCAACTATATAAAGATGACACTTTTAAAGTTGTCACGTGAGAATATGATATGATCGAATGCGTGAATCAATGCACCACCTCCAAGTAAATGATCTTACGAGTAAGGCCAGGAGCCCCGTTCGTAGTGTCCTTGCTCCGTTCGTAGCGATGCCTGTTGTGTGATCTTCTCATGGGAAGTGTTTCGGAAGCAACGTCCTGTTGCGCAGATCCCTTCCGACACCGAGAGCCGCCATGCCAGCGCCGGTCGTGGCATTGCGACTGGGTCGATTCACTGGGTGGCGCCTTCCACGGTGTCATTCAGATCGGTTGGACAGTTGAAAAGTGGTGCCACAGGCTGATGGCTTTGGGTGTAAGGCACAAGCTCCATATCCGGCTCACTTCGAACGCTGAGGCCAAAGCTGAGCCACACACTCCGGCCTCCATCTCCGCTCCAGTGCCAAGTGTTATGACCATGGGCGTGACACCGCCCACCGCTCCGGCTGCACCAACGCCTGCGCCGGCGCCGGCGCCTGCAACAATGACACCTGGCCAAATAGGAGGAATGGAAATTGAGAGGTGAATCGGGTAATTTTGGACACACACACACATCACGAAAAGCCTCAAACAAGATCCACCAAGAAATACAAGAGTATTTTTCAGTTTGGTTCCTTTTTCTTGACATGTTTTCTGGTCCACTCTGGTCCACTCGGCTCAAAAAGCGCGGCATCTCGCCTCGGGCCTTGCCTCGTCCGCTGAGGCCCCTCACCTTGGTGGCGCCGCAGAATATGGTGCCAACCTTCACCACCGAAAGCGCTCTGGGCGAGACAGGATGGGTGATGTTTTCAGCTTCATCGATGGGTCCCACGAAACGACTAGGGGTCAATGCTTGAAGTGTGGTCCCAAGAAGGCGCACCACGGATGGGGTCAAGACTTGTTCGAACAGATGGTACGACAGCTAGACCAGCACCAGATTCGCAGGAAGTGTTGGTTCTCCAAGTGGTTCGGAACGGTCAGATACCGCGACCGCCGCAACCGGGCGGGCGGGGCGCTATAGTCCAAGTCAGTGGTTGCAGTTGACCTGCCCAGGTTGGCGGTACTCCCAAGCGCCACAACCGCAGTCAATTTGGGCTGTCAGTGCTGGCACAGGCAGGGAATTCGGATGTCCTGATGCTTTAATGCGCTTTCAAGCATCCTGTCACTGTTTAGGTGAAGTTCCACTATGTTCCACTCAAAAGCCAGAAACTTCTTGATTCACTACTCGATGACCCAACTATACCCAACTGCTCGAACTCTTTCGCCATCTTTCGCCTCATCTTCAAGCCATGACAAGGGGCACCGTGTGTTGCCCCAGAATTCGATTTGTTTCCGTCGCCTTTCTGTACCGAAAAGCATCCTGCAAGGCAGTGTCCGTCGCCTTTCAGTCATGGGCACTCATACGACCTACGGATGAGAGCGCCCTTGCCTCGCGTGAAAAACAGTGGAGCGGAGCGACGTTGTTTGGATCGGAAGACGACCTCGTAGATCAAGCGCACCTGTCGCTTCCTGACGATGTAAGGCCTTGTTCACGGAGAGGCTCCTTTTGCCCAGTCATGCCCAGTCCTACTCCTTTTGGTTTGAACATGTTTGAAACTTTATATGGTACGATTTGAGGGTTCGAAGCTGTCCCAAGGGGTCCCGGAGTGGGAACCCTTGCGCATACCAAGCAGTTTCCATCTCCGTAGGCCGTCTTTGGAGATCAGGGTGTGCTACCACGAAATGTGACTCGGACGGTCAAGTCTTCTCCCCAACGCGCGAAAGGCGTACGGGAGGCTTCCCCCGCGTCTGCCCTTTTTTCTATGACTATGAAGCAGTTTGGAAATTGCTCTAAAAAGAGGAGTTTCGGAGACAAATGTGGGATGTGGAGACGTTTTTGAGAGGCAGATGCCATGTGGTCCCACCAGTAGGTTCTAGATCCAATTGGGAATCTACACTAATCGCTATGGCCTCCTCGCTAATAGCCATGGCCTCCAACCTAACAGCGATGGCCTCCCCCCCAATAGTGATGGCCTCCCCTTAGAGGAAGCTTTTTGCTTGCCAAATGAAACCCACCAAACAAACCCAACAGATCTGTGTAGACTTAAAGAAGCACTCACCAAGCAAAGTAGCACCAACTTGCTTGCTAGTTAAGCACCTACCTGGAGTCTTAAGGCTCTTAAGGCATCAACTTGCTAGTTGTGAAACACACTTCCAAAGTCGAGGTCTTGCCCAGCTCGATGGCCTCGGTGAGCTTGGGCTCAGGCTTCTTCCGGTCGGGTGTCCATGACTGTCATGCCACGTTGCTACGTTCGTAGCGTCCGAATGCTCCTAGCAGTACGGCCAGGAGCCCCTAGGAGCGTCCTCCTAGTAGAAATGCCCTTTGTTACGTTCGTAGCTTCTTGTTACTAGTAGTACGGCCAGGAGCTACGAACGTAGCTTCTTGCTCCTTCACTTTTCATCTTCATGATGTTGACCTTTGTCCTCCTTCGTTCACGTTTGTTCAGATTCGGGCCCGAGTTCGTATGTCCGGGGACACATCCTCACCTTTTGGCCGACCTAGAGCGACCTGACGAGCGAACAGGTGCGACCTGGCGACCTAAAGCAACTAAGCGCACTGCGGTAGGAGTCATTGGCTTCACCGAGAATGATTGACAAAGCCCGACTCTGACAACTGGTCCTTCTAGAACAAATCACTGGCCACTACCTCAAGTCAATTGGCCTAATTGCAAAAACGATGCAAACAGTCAAAGCTGAATGAAGGATTAACTATGCCCGCTGAAAGCACTTGAGCTGGGCACCTCTTTCTTGCCCTCCTAGAAATGAACATAGTGCCATATAGTGACTTAGTGCTCTCTGGGTTTGGCAAAGATGAGGAATTGCTAGACCAATTGAGTGCGAATTGGGGGAGGCCAGGCTAAGTCTAACTTTGCGAGGGAAAAGCTTCATGCAAGAAGTATTTTTGCTCATAGCCTAGCTACTAGGAGCAAGAAGCTACTAGGGGCTCCTGGCATCGCTACGAACGGAGCAAGGACGCTACGAACGGGGTTCCTGGCCGTACTACGAACGGAGCATCCTTACTACAAGCAACATTGCAAAGGCTAAGGTCTTCCCGAGTCCTCCCGAGTCGTCAGGGTGCTGAGGGGGCCCCACGCTGTGTGCTGTGTGTTGCTTCTGTGGGCTATCCTAATGTAGCAGCGCCTGGCTAGAAGATGCACCTTATGTCATTCGTGGGGATGACACACATATACTGTATGTTGGCCACAACCCCAGGTTGTATCTGTCTATTGAAGTGTTAAGTGTTCGGCAAATTCTTGAGCTGGGCTGCCGTGCAGAAGCTTGCGTGTCAAGC